TAATAATATTTATGTTTTGAAAGTATGTATTAACTGATAGGAATACACGTGCGACGCACGTGTCCAAAACTAGTATATATATATATATTAAAAGTGGGAACAATTTTTTTTATTATTCATAAATAATAATTAATATCCATAATAATAATGAATTAAAAATTAGTTTACCATTTTATCCTTGAAATAAAAGCAAATCTTCATTTAAATAACTTTTGTTTACATAAGAAAATATAACAAAATTCATTAGCCCCTCAAATTCAATGAATCCAAATATTATATTAATACTTTCTGAAAATGTTTACTGCCATAATTTTATTTATCTCTTTCACCTTCTCCTTCACTACATGTTTAGAGGAACAAAAACGTTTGGTGAGGGTGAGGAAGGCATTGTGTAACAACAAGTAATTATGGTCAGGTTCCCTAAATTATTTCACTCATTAAATTAATTTTTTTCTTTCATCTTCCATGAGGTCTTTTTACAATCCTCATTTATATTAATATTAAATTTCTTGATTTTTACTGGTTGTACATAGGTGTAGTTTTATCTTCTCCATGATATTTATTCTGGTCAATCTTTTCATATTCTTTAAAATACTCTATAAAGTGCATCATAAGGTGTGTTTGTCCCATTATTCCATTTGCCTTCTTTCGGTTAGATTTCTCCTCCAAGAAGAGTCTACTTCAGGTAAATCTATTCCAATTAATTTAGCTACAAATATTTACCACTTTTTGTATTATTGCTAAGCTAACAGCATATTCACTTTTTTAAGTATAATATGTATTTCTGAAAAGCTTATGATGTAATAAAACTCAAATTCAGATAGAAGCAATTGATCCGTGGAATCCTTTGCATATTTGAAGTGTGGATATGGACTATGCTTGGAGCACACAGGTTCATATTTGACTGTGTGTATTTGTGTAGTTTAAAATTGTATGGAATACACGTGCAAAGCACGTGTCCAAGGACTAGTATATATATATATGAATATTGTCAAGCCCCGAGCCTACACCCTGCGCGGGATCGGCACTCGAAGACCATTGTTGGCCCCAAGCGAACCCTTGGCCTGGCTTACTTAACTTAGCAGAAAACCTAACTCAACAGAATAACTCCATGCAATGAAAGGTCACAAAACAACCCACTGATAAAATCTTGGCCAAAAGGCAACTTGAGTCTCAAAATAAAATATTTATATATATACATAGATGAGAGACTCAATACTAACTGACTGTCTATGAAGCCTCTATAACACTGAGATAGAAGTTGGGACAGACCCCGCAACATCCTAATAAAACAAAACTAAGAGAACAAAATAACCAAGTCCTCTGGAATGCAAAGAGGCTCACCACTGACTCTGGAGTGCTCAGCTGGATCAACGGCGTACTGGATGCTGATCCTGATTCCCTGCGTCTGCATCATAATAAGATGCAGGCCAACTGGCATCAGTACATTGAATGTACGAGTATGCGAGTTGGAAAGCTAAACAACAACTTAAGCTTGAAAGGAGTACAAAGGAACACTTACCTTGGCTCTGTTCAACTCATGAATAACTGAACTCAATACAAAGCAATAAGACACATGCAATATATATAAAGCTTGTAAAACTATTTAAAACATGATGTCAAAATCATATTTATAATATAAAAAAAAATACCATGCTCCCTTTCAAAGTCTACTTGTGCAATGCATGAATGAAGTCCCATACCCCCATCCATACTAAGCAGAACCCCTCGAGGAACCATGCAATTTCTACTGTGGGAGTTTCTCTAACCGACAACCACCACTAAGAGCCTAAGTGGTGAGACAACGTTGTTACCATCACGCTGCCAGACTGTTCTATACTTTGCCGTCATATAGAACTACTTTACTTAGTGGATCCACTAGCTTAACTTTCGTGATCATCTAAAAAGTATGACACGTTAAATCCCATGTTGGCTACATGGTTCCTATGGAGAGTTGAGTTAATATGAACTCGTGTCCCCAATTCGGTGCTCAAGACTACTCCCAAAAATACTTTAGTTCATATGTTTTAAAAACAAACTTCTTTCTTTAGTTTGAGATAATTACTCAAAACTTAACTTAAAATCTCTCTTGGAATCGATGTTCCCTTTCTTGCTCAAATGTGAAAACATTTATAAACTTCTTTGGGAATACTTAGTTCCCTAATAACTTTTGAGAAATGAACTCGACTCTATACTCTTTACTTAACTTGAAACTCTATACTCTTTACTTAACTTGAAACTTGAGCCTTAAAACGAAGTTAAAACGTTCAAGAAAGACGCTTGAAAAAAACTTTAAAGACTTGCTTTGACTTACTTCTTAACTTCTAAGCTTGACTCTAACTTCACTTGACTTTGATCCTAACTTCCCTCGAATTGATTTATGGATTCAAGGGTAATGATCTCATGTTTATGGATGAGTTCGGGACGTTTAAATGTACCTTAGAGTGTTGGAAACAACTATAAAACATAGGTACTTTGCCAAGGAACATGCATGAAAAAGTGGGGAAGGAATGAGGAGAATTGGCGTCCTTGGTGCTTTGAGAGGCACGGGGCGCCAGCCCTCAGACTTCAGAGGGGCCTGCTGGGCGCTCTGCATGGCGCGCCGCCCAAGGGGGAAACTTTAGAACCCCTGTTGGGGTGCGCTGGCTAGTGCGACGCCCCACCCTTTTTGCCCGAAAAAAATCCGACTTTTCTCCTTTGTTTTTCCAACTCTAAACCTTCTTAACTTCAAAGGTTCCAGCCCCAAACACTTAGAATCATAAAACCCCTTAATATACAATAGATTCAACTCGAAATCACAACCGGAAATATGCACCAAACCAACAAGAACTTCAACAACACAACCACAACTTCAACCAACACAACCACAAACTTAAACAAACACAACCAATCTTTTCTCGGAATTAAAACGAGTTTGGCGTGTGGGGAAATGAACCAACCCAACACTATGATCTCACATACCTTAATAGGGATCACCCTCGACGAAAACCACGACGATCTCTACGAACCTTGCTTATTCTTCTCCTTCTCCTCTTCTCTCTCAAAGCCCTAACCCTACACTTTTAAAAGGGAAAACTAGATTTAAAATCAGTCTAAACCCTTAATATAACCAAAAGAAATGGTTAGGGAAAAGACCAAAATACCCTTACAAATTCGGACTAAAACTGCCCTGTGCCAACAGCCCAACTTTCAAAGAGCATAACTCACTCATACGAACTCGGAATCGAGCAAAATCGGCGGCGTTGGAAAGATCATTCCAAGAGCTTTCCAAAAATAACTGGAAATACACCTAAATCATCTTGATCTAGAAGTTATGACTGTTTGAAGTTGACCAAAAACTCACTTTTTTCCATACTTAGCCAAATTTCCAGATTGTGAATTCTTTCCAAAAATGACTATTTCCAATTTCACGCTTCTTCATAGTTATTTCAAATTTCCGGATGTTACAAATACCAAGAGGAAATAATGAAACCCATAAGTAGGCTTTAGATTTATGATGAAATGTCAAAGTTTGTCAAAAAAACCCTACCTGAGAGGGGGTTAGGGGTGTGGGAGCATGGTTAAGGGAGTAATTAGGGAAAAACAAAAGGTTCAGTTTATATTTTTTTTAGGTTAATATGTTAACGAATGGATAGGTGGTTGCTTACAGGGATCATGGGCAGAGCTACGGTGTTCTGTGGTTTCTTTGAACACTTTTCGTCGAAAAATTACACTGTATATGTCAAATCATACTTTATATTGGTATATAATAGCAATTAGGGACGATCTTTTCAACTTTTCCTCTATAGCCATGGAATAGGTGCTTACTTCCAGAGGTGGATTCAAGGCGACTTCTGAGTAGAAGTGAACCTATTGTTTTCAACTTACAACTCTATATATATATATATATATAGTTTGAGTCGAATTTAGAATTTAAACTGAACTAATTGTACTTTTTAATTATGAATATATAATCTCTTTTTATTTTTGTGTTTTTGACTTCTACATTACATTTTTTTAAAAAAAATATAAATAGATGCCTTGCCATTACCAATAATGTGGATTACAAAAGAGGAAGGAGGACTTTACCTTGCCTTCCTAATGAGATTTGCTAAATATACACGTGCAAAAGAGGCACAAACAATGCCAAACACATAGAAGCACCTCAAGGTGGCTCAAAGAAAATCATACTCGGTTTTCTTTGTTTGACTCTGAAGGAGGGAAATTGCCACTTATCAATGTTCAGAAGGCCTCTAATCTGCCTGGGAATAGTGCTAGGCTGAGTAAATACTTTAACTTCCTCAACAAAATGGCTCATTGAAGCCAATTTATCAGCCACATGATTTGCTTCCCTATAACAATGGTTAATAATTACATCATGTCTCTGAATCAAACTTCTAATTTCCTCCACTGATTCCTTAATCCTCCATGGAGTAGACCAACTGTTATTAATACAGTTTCGAAGTAGTAGAGAATCAGTCTCGGTAATGATGAGATTATGACCATTGTTAATACACCATCCAAGTCCAAAGAGGAACGCATCTGATTCTGCAGTGTTGCTGGTGCCTCTTCCAAGTGGAAGGATGAATGCCATTAAACATGTGCCCATGGAATCTCTCACTATTCCACCACCTCCTGTAGAATTTCCAACACATGAACCATCAGAGTTCATTTTCACAAATAAGAGCGGGGGTTTCAACCACCTCACAGGGACAAAGCTAGTATCAACTATGCTAAGTTCCATGAGCTTCAATAAATTCTCCCAGTTCTCAGGTATGTTCAAATTTGTGAAAGTTTTCTTCGATACAAATGCTGAAAGATATGAGGGCCGTAGATCTAATGATAGAGGGCTTTTCTTCATCATATCTAGAGGTACACCTTGATCTCCATAGTTCCCACATTAAAATAGGAGGGAGAATATTTACAACATAGGCAGCAACAGGATTTTTGGCAGTACAATTCCAGCATCTTTGAATTAAATCCCGAAGGCTGGTATTCCTGGTACATATACCCATCCTTCCTTAAAAAGAACTCCATAGTAACTGTGCAAAATGGCCTGAGCAGAAAAGATGTTCAGCGGTCTCCATCCCTGTTTTCATACCTGCACCAATACAACAAAAACATTTAGAGACAAAGTTAATTTTAAATTTTTTTGCCACTTTGTCATCAGTAGGCATCCTGCAGTGGATTGCTCTCCATGCCACACAAGACATCTTGTAGGGGACGTCTTTGTGCCACAACTTGGCGTCAATAGGAGCAAACAACCTTTTTTGCCTGAGTAAGTTCCAGGCAGAGGAGATGGAAAAGGTCCCCGACTCCGTTTCAGTCCAAAAAGGAACGTCTTTTGTATTGTTATTGAGAGAAATAGTGTACTTCCTAATGAGATCTTTGATCTGCTCACTAGGGTATGGATGCAAAACATTCCAGTCCCATTGGCTTTGGCGATAAACTTCTCTGATGGAGATATGTTGATCCACTATGACATCTTCCATGAGGCTCCATAATGGCCCTTGCTTGGTCCAATTGTCGAACCAAAAGTCAACGTTTCCTTCCCTTACTCTCCACCATATCTTGCTATCGACCTCACTTCTAATTTTTAGCATGGCTTTCCAACTATGGGATTGACCAGGCTTCCATTGAATGGTGGTAGGGTGATCGTTTATACAGTATTTTGCTTTGAGAAAATTGACCCAAAGGGAATTAGAAGTTCTGAACTTCCACCATTGCTTAGCAGTGAAAGCTTTGTAGATATCCTCTAGTTTCCTAAAATTAGAACCACCTTCTCTATAGGGGTAGCTTAAGTTATCCCAAGAGATCCAATGATATTTACCCCCCTCCTCATTTCCGGACCAAAAAAATTTGGTTAAATAAGTTTCAATCAAATCAAAAATACCCTTCGGGGGGTGGATAGCTGCAAGAGTGTGAACATTCAAAGCAAGCAAAACATTTCTAATAAGGGTTGCTCTTCCTCCCGATGAAAGAAATTTAAGATGCCAACCCTTTATTTTGTTGATGACTTTGTTGACTATGTCTGGAAAGATGTCAAGTGTCTTCCTTCCTGTGTAAATTGGGAAACCCAAGTATTTAATCGGAAAATGTTCATATCTCATATGCAAGATTCTTCCCACCCTTCTTATGGTATTTAAGGGTGTATTAGTAGCCATAGTGAAAGAACACTTGTTTTTGTTAATGAGTTGACCCGACGTTCTTTCAAAGATGTCCAAAGTTTTGAGTATGATTTGTAGTGAAGCCTTCTTTCCACTGCTAAAAATAATTGTATCATCTGCAAAACAAAGATGGTTAATTTGGGGACCTGGAAGGTGCATAGAAAAGTAACTAAAAGCAGGGTTTCTATGAAGGGCATTTAATAATTTAGAGAGAAGCTCTGCCGAAAGAACAAATAGACTAGGTGAGAGGGGGTCTCCCTGTCTGAGACCTCTTCCTGAATTAAAGAAACCATGACTACTCCCATTTACAAGCATAGTATACCAATTGTTTGAAATGAACCTGTAGATGAGATCTATCCAAGATTCAGCAAAGCCAAAATGCCTTAAAACAAAAACACAAGAAAGGCCAAGAAACTCTATCATAAGCTTTGGACATATCAAGTTTAATCACCACATTACCCCCTACATTAGGCTTGTTAATATTATTAACAATTTCCTGCGCAAGAAGAATATTCTCAGTAATAGCTCTCCCTTTAACAAAGCCACTCTGATTTTGACTAATAATTCTAGGGAGAATCCCAGAAAACCTAGAATTAATCACTTTGGCCAAGATTTTACTAGAAGTATTACACAGACTAATAGGTCTAATGTCAGAGAAATCTTGAGGAAAATTCACCTTAGGAAGCATAACAATACAAGTATGAGTAAAGAATTTAGGAAGGGTAGCACCTTGAAAGAAGGAATTAATCGCAGCATGGACATCTGAAGCAATAATAGGCCAGGCTGATTGATAGAACTTCCCACTTAGGCCATCAGGTCCCGGGGCACTATCAGGGTCAATAGAGAACACAACATCTTTAAGTTCTTGGATAGAAGGAGGGGAGGTGAGGGATATGTTATCCTCTCGAGTCACCACCCTATCTATCACATTAAAAATATCGTTATTCTCATCAATATCTTCAGCTTTGAAAAGGTTGGAGAAGTAATTGACTGCAGCTGTAGCAACTTGAGTGGTACCTTCCACCCAATTGCCATCTTGGTCCTTAATCTTATGGATTGAGAGCCTCTTATTCTTATCTTTTATAACATTGTGGAAGAAGGTAGAGTTTGTGACTTCTACATTACATATATGTTATGTGACAAAAATATTAAGTTTGATTGAACTCATAGTTAAACTATTGCATCCGCCTCCACGTCTAATAAGATCACACTTATTTTAAATTTGCCTATTCTTAAGTTTAAATTCGTCTTTGAAGACTTCATCCAAAATGATACATGGGACATATGGACTATGAAATTTGTCAAATTAGCATAAACTAACTATCAAAGATCCCAAATATGTTACCAGAAAATAAGTAAGAAATTCACTTATTCATGCCAAAAAATAAATAAGAAACTCACTGTTTTTTTAAAAACATATCTTTCATCAAATCTCAATATCCAATTATATCCACTAGGAAAGTTTTTTAGGTTTTGCAAGTTTTTGCTATTTTTAGTAAATTTCCTAATCTTCAACTCACTATAAAAGGTGACATCTAACAAATCACACATATATCTTCTATAATTCATTATACAAAATGTCTTATACAAAAAGAAGTTGTATTTCTGGGCTCTTTCTCTTGTTCTTAGCTCTTGCTTGTGAAGCGAATTCGGGGTTTATAGGAGTTAAAGGTTCTCATTTTGAACTTAATGGATCCCCTTTTCTATTCAATGGTTTCAACTCATATTGGTTGATGCATGTTTCTGCTGACCCTATTGAAAGATACAAAGTCACGGAGGTTCTTAAAGATGCTTCTACCACTGGTCTTTCTATTTGTCGTACTTGGGCTTTTAGTGATGGAGGTGATAGAGCATTACAAATATCACCTGGTGTTTATGATGAACGTGTTTTTCAGGTAAAGGACGTTTGTTATTATAGTTTTGATAACTTTTACATTATCGCGTTGTAATGCATGTGAGTCCCTTAATTAGATATACTTGTTCTAAATTTAGGGCTTGGATTTTGTGATCACGGAAGCTAAGAAATATGGTGTTCGTTTAATATTGAGCTTTGTAAAATCAAATGGAACGACTTTGGAGGAAAAATTCAATATGTTTGGTGGGCACGAAATGCAGGAGCTCAGATTAGTAATGACGATGAATTCTATACTCATCCTATGCTCAAAAAAATACTTGAAGAACCATATTGAGGTATATATGGGGTAATTATTATTTAATACATATAAACAACTTTTTTTATTAATAATATTATGAAATTGTTACAGAGAGTGGTTACAAGGTTGAATAGTATTACTAAAGTTGCTTACAAAGATGATCCAACAATTATGGCATGGGAACTTATGAATGAACCACGCGATCAAGCTGACTATTCAGGAAAAACTGTTAATGTAAGCCCCAATTCAGGTTCAAATAAATTGAATTTTAGAAATATCAAATCTATGATTGACGTTTTTGACTAATATTGTTATAGGGTTGGGTTCAAGAAATGGCAAGTTTTGTGAAGTCATTAGACAACAAACACTTGTTAGAGGTTGGAATGGAGGGATTTTATGGTGACTCAATTCCTGAAAGGAAGACAGTTAATCCTGGTTATCAAGTTGGAACAGATTTCATAAGTAACCATCTTATCAATGAGATTGATTTTGCTACTATCCATGCATACACTGACCAATGGTAGTTTTTACATCTTTTCTCTACGTACAATTTCATATGTTTTCATTATATAGGTCTAAATATTTCTTTATATCGATCGTTATAGGGTATCTGGACAAAGTGATGAAGCACAATTGGTGTGGATGGAAAAGTGGATAACAAGTCATTGGGAAGATGCAAGAAATATATTAAAGAAACCTTTAGTGCTTGCTGAATTTGGAAAAGTCTAGTAGAGGTCAAGGATCAAGAGATATATTTATGAGTAGTGTATATAGAAATGTGTATAATTTGGCAAAAGAAGGTGGAACAATGGCAGGAAGTTTAGTATGGCAACTAATGGCACATAGAATGGAGAATTATGATGATGGTTATTGTATTGTTTTGGGACAAAATCCTTCAACTACACAAATTCTTTCAGACCAAGCTCATGTCATGACAGCTTTGGCTCATTCTTTCAATTGAGTGAAGGCATCAAGATCATTATTATAAAATAATCAATTTATAAGTGGATTTGAGTGATCTTAAATCCATCATTTTTAAGTATTATCAATTTGAGATGATATTACCAAACATGTTGAAGTTGATTAATTAAACTCATGAATGTAATTGAATAAATTATTTTAGTAAAAAGGAAAGTTATGTTTTATGTCCTCTAGTTTTTATTTTGAGTTTAATTTTTTAGTTTGAAAGCAAAGATTAAGAACACTAATTTTAATTCACAAAATAATACATGCAATTATATTGCTATCAAGCATATACAAACAAAAAAAAGAAAATTAAAAAAACAGAAAAGTCCACTCCTGCAATCTTCCATTAAGTCCGTCGTCTCTGAGCTCTCTTCATTGACCTTCTCATTTTCTTGGGATAAATGCCTTCAAAAAATTCGACAAACCATTTTGGCTTACGATATTTAAACATGAGGCTCCACACAACAGTTCCAACAACTAGTCCACAACTGTAGCCTATGACTACTGATTCCCACGTAAATCCACTAAAAAAATATGACTCGTCTTCAGACTCCAATGGTTGAGGAACATGGGATGGATCACTCGTTCCACATTGCTTTGATAAAGGAGGACCACATAGATCAAGGTTACCGCCATACGAGTCATTTTCAAATGTGTTGAATTGTGGACCAAGAGGAATTGGTCCGAAGAGAACATTCTGAGAAACGTTTAACTTTTCCAGAAATGTTAGCCTTGTCAATTCCTGCGGAATCTTTCCAGTGAGCCGGTTCCAAGAGAGATCTAACGCTTCAAGCTTATTCAATTGCCCCAATTCCATTGGAATATGACCTATGAGATTGTTATGGGATAAATTGAGTAGCCAAAGTGAGCTGAGATCCTTTAGTGTTTTCGGAATGACACCTTCAAAATGGTTACACGAGAGGTCTATGGTTGTCATAATTGTGCTGATTCTTTCTAGCTCAATATCCTGCCCTTTGATCACCAAACTCACAGAATCATCAGATGACATCTCAGATGGTTCCATGTACTTGATCTCTCCTGTACCTTCACCGTCTAATTTAATCATTGCCTTGAAGTTTCCAAAAACTTTTGCAGGGAGTGAGCCACTGAATTTGTTACGCGAAAGATCAAAAATTCGCAACTTGGGAAAGCAAAATGTAGTCTGACAAGTACTAATTGGTCCATGGAACAGATTGGACTTTAATATTAAGACCTGCATTTGTTGAAGTGTTCCTAGCCAAGCTGGAAATGTGTCATTTATAGCGTTATTCCCCATATCAAGAACTTCTAAATCACTACAGTTGAGCAACGACATAGGGAGAGTTCCTTCAAATTGATTACCATTCAAGTAAATGGTACTCAATGAAGTGCTCTGCGCACATAACGATGGAAGACTCCCAGTGAAATTGTTCCTTCTTAAGTCCAACACTGTTAGACTAGACATGCTTCCCAAGCAACTTGGAATCGAGTTACTGAAGTCGTTGCGTGATAAATCTAGAAATTGAAGATCGTTCATGTTACAAATGGATGAAGGTATTGGACCTTGAAGGGAGTTAAATTTAAGATCAAGATACCTTAGATTATGGAAATTAAATTGTTGTAGGTGGCCTGTTAAAGAGTTATGCGAAAGGGTTAGGTAGGACAAGTTGTCCCACCTCATGCCGCTAAACCAGTTTGGGATTTGGCCACGAATCTTATTGTTAGAAATATCCAAGACCTGAAGTTTCTTTACATTTGTCAAGAAGTGTGGAATATCCTTCAGTTCACAAGATGATAACCACAAATCTTGTAGGCTAGGAAAAGTGATTTGTATTCCCTCATCGATGGTGATGTTATTTGATGAAAGGTCGAGGGTAGAAAGGCTTGTGAGATTCACAAGTGATTGAGGAAAAGAACCACTGAGTTGATTATGGCTTAAATCTAGGCTTTCTAATGTTGGGATTGTTTTGAGCTCAGTGGGTAGTCCACTAAATCGATTATTATCGAGCCATAATTGAGGTAGCAAAGGGAGGCTAAACACCGAAGATGGTATGGTCCCATTCAGTGCGTTGTACGACAAATCCAGTTGGGTTAGCTTTTGAAGCATGCTAAAATTATTAGGCAGTGGGCCAGATAGGGAATTACTTGACAAGTCTAAGTATTGAAGATGTGTCAAGCTTACAATTGTAGAAGGAAACGAACCAATGAAACTGTTGTTATGAAGATATAAAGAACGTAGCTCTTGGAGGTTAGAAAAAATGTCGGGAATTTCACCTGAAAAGGAGTTGGACGAAAGCTTTAGATAGCTGAGGTGCTTCAATTTAGATATTGTGGAAGGAATATGGCCGGTGAAATGATTATAACTGAAAGCCAAATACCTAATTTGTGTAAGATTGCCAATGGAATCAGGAACGCGGCCAGATAATTGGCATCCATACATGTTCAAGCGATTCAAGGAACTGAAGGTGCCAATTGAATCAGGCAGCTCACCGGAGATTCCTGTGAATGAAATATGCAACTCCAACAGAGTGTTGCTCGGGTGGATCTTTGGTAAACCTCCTTTAAGAAGATCATTGTAATTCAAATAGAGCATTTCCAATTTTGGCAGAAGGAAAAAGCTCTCTGTGAGAACACCTCGCAGATTAGTAAATCCAAGATCTACATACTTTAAGGAGGATGAAGATATATTCAGAGGTATCGGAGATGAGATGTTGACACCAAAGAGAGAAACTACCTCCAGATTTGTGAAGTTTTGAAGAATTGTTTCAAATGTTCTCTCATCAAGTTCACATCCATAACAATTAAGTTCAAGTGAAACCAAATTGGAAAGGTATGAGATTTCTGTTGGAATTTCCCCTTCAAAGAATGAATGAGAAAGGTTGAGATGCCTCAAATTCGTCAATCGGCCAATGTTGTGTGGGATTGAAGAAAAGAAGGCATTGTGAGCAAGGTTTAGTGTCCGGAGATGATGAAGTTGGAAGAGGCTGCTATTGGGATGAATAGTTCCAGTAAGCATACTGCAACTAAGGTCCAATCCAATAACATAACCGGTTAACTGCAGCAACTGCAGCAACTGCAGCAACTGCAGCAATCCCTACTCTCATTCCAAGACTTTGTTTTTGGGATATCATCCCAACATGTAGGTTGGTCAGAGATTTGAAAGGATTGTTTGAAGTGAAGCAAAGCAAAAGCTTCAGTGGGAGAGCAAACATGATGCATCATCACAGAGGAAGAAGAAAAGCTTTCACTAATTACCAACAAAAACAGACAAGTGAATAAAAGAAAAACAGAATTCCCATCTTTTTTTTGTATTCAACAAATAACAGAATGTTCTGTTCTTAAAAATCAATCATCATTATCCACATATATATACTAGTTTATGAGTTACACTTGTGTAACTTTTGTGAAAATATGCCTCTAATGAGTACTAAAATGCAATAACTATAAAATAAA